CGCTCTTCCTGCTCTTCAACAATTTTCCAGAGTGGATGAAAGATAACAAACCCTGTGTCTACCGAGGTAGATGGTCTCTAGCGCATTTGATTGCCCCTTGCACACCACAGGATGGCCAGCGCTACCAGTTTAGGTAAGCAGAAATCTGTTCAGAGAGGAGGAAGATTCCTCCAAAATCGCACAGCAAGAATGGGTCCTGGTCCTGAACCAACTATGGAATCTATGGTGCATGCTCTTTCCACTGCACCTGCACAGACTCAAGAGTTTTTCTGGGGTTGGGGATGGATATTATATTTACATATTTTCTCTTCCATTTTACAGAGCTTAGGGGATGAGGCTTATTGTTTGTTGTTTCTTTTAAATTCATCTTTTCCCCCTCTGTTTTTAATTTATGTGTTATGGCAAAAACTCAGAAATTGAACCCATGGGATTCATTTCTGCAATATATTTTTCTTAAATATCATTCTCCTAGTAATATATCAAATTAAATATCATTCTCTTAACATTGTCCCATTCTCCCATGAGCAGGCTGGGGAGAAATAGTATGTCCAATTTACAGAAGGTGAAACCAAGATTTAGAAATGGTTCACTATGGGACCAGCAGTTGGCTTAATGGTTACATCATTGGACTCCCACATGGCCGACTGTGATTCGAGTCCCAGATGTGGTGGCTTCAAACTCATGCTGGGTGCGAGTGTGTGTGTCCCCAAAATTCCAAGAGGAGAATTGAGGAGAAGGGATTGCAGGGTGGCCATCCACCCAGGGGTGATTTCTCACTTTATGTCTCTCTATCGCTCTCTGTCTCTCCAGCAAGTGCACGTGCCTTATAGCAAAAATCTCCCTTAAAAACTGGTTTACTAAAGCCTGGCTCTCAGACCAAATCAGCCACTTCCTCTTTCCAGAGGCCAGTCCAAGCAAGATGCTGTTTCTGACCCCTCTCTCCATCTTATATGGAATCAGGGTCATTCTCTTGTCCCTCAGAGAGGGGGCACCCTGCTTGCTTCACTGTTTGTGACCTAGGGCAAGTCTTTTCCACTGTCCTCAGTGCTACTGCTTGCTATTTTGTTTTATCTTTTCTTGAAAGATAAGAAATAGGGGCCATGGGCGCGTGTGCGTGCGTGCCCAAGATCCCGAGAGGAGAGTGGAGGAGAAGGGATTGCGGCGTGACCATCCCCCCTGGGGGGTGATTTCTCGCTTTCTGTCTCTATGTCTCTCTCTGTCTGTCTGGCGAGCGCACGCGCCCTACAGTGAAAATTTCTCAAAAAAAAAAAAAAAAAAAAAAACTAAAAGAAACAGGGGCCAGCAGGTGGCATGGTGGTTAAGGAGCTGAATCTCACATGGCTGTATGATTCCTCCATGGCTTGAAAAACGCTGGGCACATGTGCGTGTTTCAAAATCCCGAATGGAGAATGGAGGAGAAGGGATTGTAGCATGGCTGTTTCCCCAGGGAGGGGAGTGCTTTCTCACTCTCTAGTGAGCACACACACACATAGCAATTTATTATTTTTTTTTTTTTAAAGGAGAAGTAGTAGATAAGAAATCTCCTTTGGCTGAATCTAGTCTTTAAACCCTTGACCTACCAAGTCCACCTAATGAAAGATCTTGAGACTCAGCCATAGCACTCTTACCCACACCTCCATGGTGCAGCAGAGGAAGGCAAAAAAAAGGAAACTAGGAGGTCAGCAAATGGCATAGTGGTTCTGGTGCTGGACTCCCACATGGCTGACCATGGTTTGACTCCTGGACCCGGTGGCTTGAAAGCCACGCTGGGCACATGTGTGTGTATGCCCAAAGGCCCAAGAAGAGAATAGAGGAGAAGGGTTTGTGACATGGCCGTCTCCCCTGGAGGTGATTTCTCGCTTTTTCTCTCTCTTTCTCCTGTCTTTCTGGTGAGTGCACAAGCCCTATGGCAAAAATCTCTCTCTTGCCAAAAAATTCCCCCAAAACAAAATCCTAGTATTTATTGAATACCTACCATGCTCCAGATCACTTATAAAAAAGATTTATCTTTCTTTTTTCCTTCCTTTCTTCCTTCCAATTTAACCAGAGAGGGACAGAGCAAGAGAGAGGGAAAGTGAGAAAGCAAGCCACCAGGTCCAGGATTGAACCATAGTTGGCCTTGTGGGGGAGTCCAAGGTCCTTAATCACCATGCCACTTGCTGCTCCCTCAAGATCACTTTTTATGCATGACTTGTAATTCCTACAACTATAAGATGTGGAGGGACCAGCAGTTGGCGTAATGGCTATGTCACTGAACTCCCATGTAGTCGACTGCAGTTTGAGTCCCAGACCCGGTGGCTTGAACTCACGCCGGGCATGTGTGCATGCGTGCAAAAGATCCCAAGAGGAGAATGGAGGAGAAGGAATTGTGGTGTGGTCGTCCCCCTGGGGAGTGATTTCTTGCTTTCTGTCTCTCTGTCTTTCTGGCAAGCGCATGTGCCCTATAGCAAAAAACCTCTCAAAAAAAAAAAAAAAAGAAAAAAAAAAGAATAAAAGAAAGAAAAAGATGTGGCGTCATCACCAGTAGGTGATGTAGTGGTTGTGGCACTAGACTCCCACACGGCTGCCTACAGTTGGAGTCCCAGACCTGATAGCTTGAAATTCACATCGGGCATGTGTGTGTGCTTGCCCAAAATCCTGAGAGGAGAATGGAGGAGAAGATATTGCGGTGTGGTCATCCTCCCTGGGGGGATTTCTCACTTTCTCTCTCTCTGTCTCTCTACTAAGTACATGATCTCTATTGCAAAAAGTCCCTAAAAAAAAGAAAATGTGGGATCATTGGGGGCAACAGGTGCCATAGTAGTTAAGGCTCTGGACTCCCACATGGCTGACTGCAGTTTGAGTTCCAACCTGGTGGTTCGAAAAGCTCGCCAGGCGTGTGTGCATGTGTGCCCCAAATCCCAGGAGGATAATAAAGGAAAAGGGCCTGTGGCAGGGCCATCCCTCCTGAGTGATGATTTCTCACTCTTGCCCTCTCTCTGTCTCTCTCCAGCAAGTACGTGTGTCCTCTGGCAAAAACTGAAGAAAGGGACCAGCAGATGGCGTAATGGTATGTCACTGTAATGGTAGTCGACTGCTCGACTGTGGTTTGAATCCTGGATCCTGTGGCTTAAAACACACACTGGGCATGTGTGTGTGCGTGCCCAAGGTCCTGAGAGGAGAATGGAAGAGAAGGGATTGTGGCGTGGCCATCTCCCTTGGGGAGTGATTTCTTGCTTTCTGCTGTTTCTCTCTGGTGAGCGCATGGGCCCTATAGCAAAAATCTCTCTAAGAAAAAGAAAATGCAAAACTTAACACCCCTCCAAAAAAACCCTCCCCCAAAAAACAAGCCTTACAGAGGTCAAGTGATATGCTCATACAACTATTAGTTTCAGTAGGGGACTTGAATTCAGGTCTCCTGACTTCAGGGTTGTATTTTTTCAACCGTTCCTCTTAGAAGAGCTGGCAGCTGGTGGCATGGTAGGTAGGTGGATCCCTCACGGATGACTGTGCATCTCGATTCCTGGACCTGGTGTCTTGAAACACACTGTGTGTGTGTGTGTGTGTGTGTGTGTGTGTGTGTGTGAAACATTCCTAGAGGAGAAGGGATTGTGGTATGGCCATCCCCCCTGGAGTAGAGGGTGCTTTCTCATTTCCTGTGTCTCTCTGTCACTCTCTTGTAAGCTCATGCACCCTAAAGCAAAACTGAAAAATAAAACAAAATGAGTTGGCACAGATCACAGAGTCTCACCATGGCTCTGGCACCACCCACAAGATCCATCCATCCATCCATTCATTCATTTGCTACTATCTATATACTGAGAACTTACTGTTCACTAGGTGCTGGGCTACGATGGGGACAATCCCCAACTTTCTAGATTAAAAAACAATTTTTTGTTTTTGTTTTTGCTAGAAGGTACATGCACATGGCAGAGAGAGACAGAGAAAGTGAGAAATCCCCTAAGGGGGATGGCCATGCCATAATCCCTTAAACTCCACTCTCCTCTTGGGATTTTGAGCATGCACACATATGTGCCTGGCGTTATTTTCAAGCTGGGCCTGGGACTTGAACTGTGAAACTGGCCATGTGGGATCAGTGCCTTAAACTCTATTTCACCTGCTGGCCCACTTCTAGAACTTTCAATGTAGAAAAGCAATAGTCAAGTAAACAAATAAGATATTTCAGATAGTGCCAAGAGGGAAATAAATCAGGGTCATGGAAAAGAGAGCAATGTGAGTAATTGAGTATGAGAGAAAGATACAGAGAGAGAGAGAGAGAGAGAGAGAGAGAGCTAGAGGCATCAGTGTGCATCATTAGATGATGTGATCACAGAAGTTGCATTTCCATTAGGTCTGCCTGATCCACTTCTGCACAATCTCCCTGTGCTTAACCTCCACGTTAGGCTATCCCTAGATATCCAGGGCAGCCATGAAGGTTCCAGGCCACATATTCCTAGAATCCTGAATGCCTGAGCTGGGAGGGCCTTTGATGGTCTGTTCATCTTCTTCTCATGTTAAACGTGGGGAAACT